TCTTCGTCACCGTCATCGTCGTCTCGTGCTCAGATGTACTGTCATCCAGACCAAGGCCGACTCCCTGACCAAAGATGGCCGCTATCAACTGGTTTGGAGGGTTCATGTTCAGAAGCGTAGCAGGAAGCTGCAGCCCATGAATCGGGCTATCGCGGACATGATTGAGGCTCTCTGATATGTCTATCACGCTCGTATGCGCAAAGCCCGGTGCCGTCCGGATCTCGTATTCGACAGTCGTAGGCTTTTTGGTGCCGAACGCATCACTCGATGTCGTCGCGCGCATTGCACCTGTGAGAGGTACGACCATGACACCCCAGCCGCTACGACGAGTGCGTCAGTACCAAAGAATACACGCTGAACGAGATGCACGAATGCCTTGCTTACCCCTGTGGCACTCTGATCATGTTCGCACTGCCCTGATCGCTATGTGCGATCCGATACGGAGCAGTGCATGGCTTCCAGATGTCGAGAATCCAGGTGTTGCCGTAGATGTCTACCGCGCACACCTTCTCGGCGAGCCCGTGTTTGTCGTCCCAGAAAGAAACGTTGGGGATGTTGTGTCCCTCCTCCCCCAGAAGCAGGACGATGCGCCAGTTGCGCTTGCGGCCCGCCACCAGCGCGACGGGAAAGTCGTGCTTGTGTCCTTTCTTGGCTCCCCCCGGCTGCTTCGAAAGACCAAAGGCAAACACGGTCACCTCGCGTCGGTTGGAGCTGACGGCTATGAGCCGAGATTCTTGGTGGACAGCGACGCCCCAGGCCGAGGAGCCGACGTTTTCGCGAAAGAAAGGCAACGGGATCGGGGCCGCCTTGGCCGCGCTGGCAGCGGCGCCAGGTGGTCGAACATGGAGGACGTATTCGGCAATGTGTTTGGTATAATATGCGATAACCGACCCGTCGTCAAACACGAGGAGGACAATCTCCTGGTGACCGAGGAATCCCGTTGTGATGGCATTGGCCTGGTGAGAGAAGCGGCGGTCCATGGTGCCGCCCACGTACTCGGACATTCGGTCGGGACCTGTCGCGAGGATGAGGTCGGCATCTTCGGGGATCGTCTGCCGTGGCACATCACGAGGGCGGTAGACGAAGAGGCGGTTCTCGTAGGCGACAAAGTAGAGCTGAAGAGAAGCATGTTAATCGGGGTCGAACGTAGTGCGTAGTGCAGCGCAGAGCAGGATAGTGGCGGGGTTCCTACGTTGTATTTTTGCGACAAGGCTGTTAGGTTGTTGCGGTAGTAGGGCATCCGCGGCACTCTCCTCTCAGGAGAGACAGGTTCGCCATTGACGCTGGCAGGCGGACCGCCCGTGTAGAACTGGCCTGTTGGTACGCCGTTCGTGAGGTCATGCTGGACGGTGCCGTTCGAAGACTGGTGGAAGTCACTGTCTCGTTCTCGTACGACGTCGATCACGTCTGGACCAAACTGTGTACATCGGGAAGGTGTCAGTATGGCATTTCGCACAGAGGACCTGCAGAATGCTCACGCGTGCTGTCGCCGTCTGCACCTGGCATTTGCCCACGGTCACTTCGCGGAACGGACGGTAGGCCATCGTCTCCTACGAGAACCAAAGGCGCAGTCGGCCTCGTCGGACATAGATGCTGTTGCCGGGTGTTTGTGTGCTTGAGAGCGCTGTTGCCGCACAGAATTGCGAAGAGGGGCCTGGAAGAAGCGAGAGCAGCAAGAAAGGGGTTTGCATGGGTCGGTGCGCCGGCGTCTTGTCGAGTTGCAAACAGAGGTCAACGACCTAGTCGGTCATAATGGGATGTTTCCCACGAAGTGGATGAATCGAAGAACAGCCGCGCGGGCGCCGCTGATGCTCGAGGGGTCAGCCCCACTCCTCTGCTGTATCGATAAGCCTCGCCGCGGCATGACGTTCCGTAGCGTCAGGTGCCCAGCACTATTTCCGTGATGCAACAACAATGGATTTCGTGGCACGAGAATAGTGGTGTAGAAAGATCACGGAAGGCGAAGGGAATCAAAATGAAGCCAGCATCCTATCGCTTTTCATAGGTGGCAAGACAAAATAAACCTCACTAACTAGCTGTCCAATCCTCATGTCCAAGCTGTCCAGAACGCCATGTCCAGGGTGCCTGTGATTCGTAAACCTGATCGTCATTATCATACCCCCTCATAATTCATCGTGTCCCTCAGAAGTGCCTTGCTTCATCATTTCTGCCATGTCTTTCATGCGGTAGTCGAGCACTGGAGTCCTCCAATCATCCTCGACCAGCGCATACGTTTCCGTCGTGTTCGCCTTTGGCTTCCTCGGGTTGATGGCCCAGTAGCCAAAGTCGGCGTCGACGACCTTGAGATAGCGCACGAGGTTCTGCCAGTAGTTGGCGTCGCCCATGCTCGGGTCCCTCGGCGCCCCGAACTCACCTACCCAGACGGGCGCCCTGTCGCCCTCGACGAGGTAGCCCCAGTTCTCCCGCATGGCGTGGACGAACGAGGCGTACCCCCTCTTGGCGAACCGCCCCTCGAGACTGCCCCAGCCGGACCAAGCATATACGTGCGCCGAGTACACGACCCTACCCGGCACGTCGAGCCTCACGGGCCGCTCAGCCACGCCGCGGAGGTCGTTGCCCGACTCGGTCCCGCCAACGACGATGAGCCAGTCGGGGTTCATCTTGAGCAGCCTGTTGCCAGCCCTCTCGGCGGCGGCGGCCCACTTGCTCCATGGCATGGTGCCCCAGACGCCGCGCACCTCGTTCCGCAGGTCGGCGCCGATGACGAGCGGGTTGTCCACGAACCGCACCATGACGGTCTCCCAATTCCGGATCCAGCCTTCCTCCGTCTGGCGCACGCGGCACAGCGGCCCCAAGTGATCGTTCGCCCACCCGGCATCGCAAGGATCGGCGCCGCAGCACCAAGTTGCGTGCGTGATGTGGTTGTTGACCACGACGGCGAGCCCCGCGTCCGTGAGGGCCGTCGTCACGGCCTCGAACACGTCGAGGGCGCGCTTGCCCGCGAGGTCCGGGTTCGCGGCCACGACCCGCGCGTCGACGAGGGGGTTGGCCGTCACGATTTCGTCGGCGTAGGGGAGCCTCACGCTGTT